CGGGCGACGGGCCGAAGCGCTGACGAAACAGGTCGTCCAAGTGACGGAAATAGCGGTCGGAGGTGTGGCCGATCTTACCGCAAACGAAGCCACGGCGAGGACCGGTCTGGAGCAGGTACTGACAGCACGAGTCACCCGAACCACCACCCGGCAGCCCACCACGCGCACCACCACCACGTCCAGCGCTACCACCAGCGCCAGGCCACCCGGGCGGGAGACCACTCGCCCGTGTCGGAACCTGCTGCGTCTGTTGCTGCTGCTGCGACTGCTGTGGCTGCTGCGGCTTCTGCGGCAGATGCTGCTGACACGGGTCCGGCGGCAACACCGTCGGCTGCTGAGACGGCTGCTCAGCAGCACCTGTCAGGGTCCCCTCGTCCACACCACCACCAGGGGATCCAGCTCCCGCACCACCTACACCTGCACCCCCACCCCCGCCGCCACGCCCCGCCTTGGGGCGGCGACCCTTCCACGGACGGACCTGTGTTGCAACAGCAGTCTCAGCCACAGCAGTAGAGCCGTCGGAGAAGTTGCACTAAGCGGGGGCGCAACCCTGAAAGATAGGGACCGGCACAGTACCGCTGGTCTGGGCGATAGAGCGGTGGCGGGCCTCTATAATGGACAGGATGTCAACAAAGTCAGTGAGGGTGAGGTCTCCGGGGTGGACGCTAAGGAAGCGGTCGCGGGCAGTGGCAAGGCGGTCAGGAAGGCGGGTGGCCAGCAGGTAGAGAGCACAGCAGAGGGGCGGCTGGTGAGCGCGAAGCTATGTGTCAGTGCAGGAAGCGCGCTAGGTCTCGTCTATAGTGCGCAGGTGGGTGGCCAGGTCAGCGACAGTGGGGAACGACGCAAGGTCAGGGAAGAGCATGGGGAGGATCAGGCGACCTACCAAGGCAGCAGGCGGGGTGGAATAGCGCTGGACAACAGCATCTTGGAAAGCCTGGGCAGTGGTGATAGACCTGAAGCGAGGTCGCTCGGACAGGGGGAGGGCAGTACTAATAGCAAGCTGTGCGACAGCGTCATGGGATAGCCAGACAGAGCGAGCAAGGGCAGCGGCCGCAGCGGACTCACGCTCAGCGGACGAGGGGTCAGGAGACAGTGCAGCGGGGGGGTCAGGGCAGGGGAGGGTACCATTAAGATGGACAGACAGAGAGTGGCCATCCTGCCGCTGACTAGTGAGGTGCCGGTGTAGTGCGGTACAGTGCGGTACAGTGCGGTGCAGTGCGCTTGAGTACGGTACCGGGGGGGGGGAGGTTCGCAGGGCTGTGCTGATCGGGAAGAACGGGCCGAACCCGAGGCGGCGGCGGGCTGGCGACGATGCGAATGCAGGAGCCGGCCGGCGGACTGCAGACGCGAGGGGCCAGAAAACGGCGACAAAGGGGGCCGGCGAGGAGCTAACGCGACGGCGAGTAGGGCCGGCCACGACGGCGAGGAGACACGGCCGCGACGGTGGCCAGAGACAGCTACGACAGCAGGAGTGACGGCCGGCTAGGAGCGGACACGATGGCCAGGGGGCCGGCTAGGGGCGGACGCGACGGCCAGGGGGCCGGCTAGGGGTGGACGCGACGGCCAGGGGGCCGGCTAGGGGCGGACGCAACGGCCAGGGGGCCGGCTAGGGACGAGCGCGACGACCAGGGGGGCGGCTAGGGACGAGCACGACGGCCAAGGGGCCGGCGAGGGGCGGACGCGACAGCCAGGGGGCCGGCTAGGGACGGGCGTGACGGCCAGAGGGCCGGCTAGGGGCAGACGCGACGGCCGGCTAGGGGCGGACGCGACGGCCAGGGGGCCGGCTAGGGGCAGACGCGACGGCCAGGGGACCGGCTAGGGACGAGCTCGACGGCCAAGGGGCCGGCTAGGGGCGGGCGCGATGGCCAGGGGGCCGGCTAGGGGCGGACGCGACGGCCAGGGAGCCGCCTAGGGGCGGACGCGACGGCCAGGGGGCCGGCTAGGGACTAGCGCTACGGCCGGGGGGGCGGCTAGGGGCGAGCGCGGCGTCCAGGGGGCCAGCTAGGGGTGGACGTGACGGTTAGGGGGCCGGCTAGGGACGAGCACGACGGCCAGGGGGCCGGCTAGGGACGAGCGCGACGGCCAGGTGGCCGGCTAGGGACGAGCGCGGCGGCCAGGGGGCCGGCTAGGGACGGGTGCGACTGCCAGGGGGTCGGCTATGGACGGGCGTGACGACCAGGGGGCCGGCTAGGGGCTGACGCGACGGCTAGGGGGCCGGCTAGGGGCGGACGCGACGGCCAGGGGGCCGGCTAGGGGCGGACGCGACGGCCAGGGGGGCGGCCAAGGGTGGGACGCGACGGCCAGGGGGTCGGCTAGGGACGAGCGCGACGGCCAGGAGGGCCGGCTAGGAGCGGGGCACGACTGTGGCTGGGGCCTAGGGGGCGGAAGCGTGAGCGGGCTAGGGGGGAACCTAACCCACTATGATACCATATCATAAAGAATAATTGAACTAGAATGTGTGAGTACAAGGGTATATAGACTAGGGTGTTATCCCCTCTAAGGCACAATCGAGTGTAGTTTACAGTAACGACCTCAGTTACATTTGACACCTAAACCTCTCGCCATTTCATGGCCGCCTACCTTCCTAACTAAGTTAGCCTTCTTACACATCTAGCCTATAACTAGTACATATCTAAGATATGTATCAATTGACGGGTTTATGTGTTAAAATAATATAAGTTATAATTTAATATAGGCTTGGTAAGTTGTTATTGAACCTTTCTGTAGAGGGTACAAACCCCTCGTTGTACTCCTCTCTCTTCCTAATCCAACCCCTTCTTTCTCGACATTCTCTTCTACCCGCTCCTATATCTACTTTCCTCACGCCACGCCATGGCGGCCTTCCCTACCTCCTAGCATCCTTGCTTTCCTAAGTTAACATGGTAACAGAGCAGGTGACCGTTTACGGGCCTGCTCCCTACGCTTCCGCCGTGTACTTTGTCGTCGTTCATTCCTGCCGTGCCGCCGTGGCGGCCATGCCCATTCCTGCCGTGCCGTCGCGTCGTGATGCTTGGCGTTGTTGCCACACTGCTGCGACGGCGCCGCGCATACCGTCGCAGCGGCGACGTCCCACCGCTGCATCGACGCCGCGATGTGTTAGCGTCGTGATGCTGCCGTGGCAGCGTCGTCGGACGGCAGCTTGCCGCGCGACGTTCGTGGCGCCGCCACACCTGCTGCCCGCACTCCAGCCTCAAGCGTGAGGCTGGACCACGCCCCGGCCCCCTTCCCCTGTGTCCTGTATCTTGCCGCAGCCGACGGCTGACTCCCGCCGGTCGTCCCACCGTCGCGGGGCCTGGCCACGTCACCGAGAGGTGCGGGTGCCGCCGCCGTCGCCGCTGTTGTCGAAGCCGCCGCCGCCGCCGCTGTCGCCGCTTGCGTCGGGGCCACGCAACCGCACGCCGCCGCCGCCGCCGCTGTCGAGACTGCCGCCGCTGCTGCCGTCGCCGCCGCAGCCCCTGCGGTCGACGTCGCCGCCTCACGCGCCGTGATGTCGACCGACCTAGTGTCGCTGTCACTGTGGCTGGAATGGGGGTGCTAGGTTAGGGGGTGTGTGGTGTGTTGGGTGGGTGTGTGACTACCAAGCCTAGGGGGTGTGTTAAAATTATATAAGTTATAATTTAATATAGGCTTGGTAGGTTGTTACTGAACCTTTCTGTAGAGGGTACAAACCCCTCGTTGTACTCCTCTCTCTTCCTAATCCAACCCCTTCTTTCTCGACATTCTCTTCTACCCGCTCCTATATCTACTTTCCTCACGCCACGCCATGGCGGCCTTCCCTACCTCCTAGCATCCTTGCTTTCCTAAGTTAACATGGTAACAGAGCAGGTGACCGTTTACGGGCCTGCTCCCTACGCTTCCGCCGTGTACTTTGTCGTCGTTCATTCCTGCCGTGCCGCCGTGGCGGCCATGCCCATTCCTGCCGTGCCGTCGCGTCGTGATGCTTGGCGTTGTTGCCACACTGCTGCGACGGCGCCGCGCATACCGTCGCAGCGGCGACGTCCCACCGCTGCATCGACGCCGCGATGTGTTAGCGTCGTGATGCTGCCGTGGCAGCGTCGTCGGACGGCAGCTTGCCGCGCGACGTTCGTGGCGCCGCCACACCTGCTGCCCGCACTCCAGCCTCAAGCGTGAGGCTGGACCACGCCCCGGCCCCCTTCCCCTGTGTCCTGTATCTTGCCGCAGCCGACGGCTGACTCCCGCCGGTCGTCCCACCGTCGCGGGGCCTGGCCACGTCACCGAGAGGTGCGGGTGCCGCCGCCGTCGCCGCTGTTGTCGAAGCCGCCGCCGCCGCCGCTGTCGCCGCTTGCGTCGGGGCCACGCAACCGCACGCCGCCGCCGCCGCCGCTGTCGAGACTGCCGCCGCTGCTGCCGTCGCCGCCGCAGCCCCTGCGGTCGACGTCGCCGCCTCACGCGCCGTGATGTTGACCGACCTAGTGTCGCTGTCACTGTGGCTGGAATGGGGGTGCTAGGTTAGGGGGTGTGTGGTGTGTTGGGTGGGTGTGTGACTACCAAGCCTAGGGGGTGTGTTAAAATTATATAAGTTATAATTTAATATAGGCTTGGTAGGTTGTTACTGAACCTTTCTGTAGAGGGTATAAACCCCTCCTTGTACTCCTCTCTCTTCCTAATCCAACCCCTTCTTTCTCGACATTCTCTTCTACCCGCTCCTAGATCTACTTTTCTTACGCCACGCCATGGCGGCCTTCCCTACCTCCTAGCATCCTTGCTTTCCTAAGTTAATATTATGTTGTTCATGCAAGTGCATTTTATAGAATATAATGAGCAAAATCATGTCAGTAACGTGGTTCAAATGTTTTTTATGTGATATGTGAGTTTGTGGCATTGCTATATTGTACTATGTAGCCCTAGTATGATGAAACTTGTTGCCACATCGTAAACAATGATGTAAAGAGGAAACTTGAGGAATTCTTATATAATTTGTTCTTCATGAAGTTAAGAGTTGGTGAACCACGGCCTTGTTCACTTGGTCCTTGGCCAACCTGAGCTTCACTAACTTGCTTCCCCGTAGCTCCAAGGTCCTGTATCCCTCACGTCCTAGCTCCATCCATTGCTTCTGCTGCTGGTAGTAGGAAGGTATAGTATTCGCACCACCAGCCGCGTTAGGACCGTGCGTACTGGTGTCACGCGCGGTGGCGCCATGCGCCCTGGCACCGTGCGCGCAGGTGCCATGCACGCTGATGCCGTGCGCGCTGGCCCGTGCGCGCTGGCATCGTGCGCTCTGGCACCGTGCGCGCTGGCGTCGTAAGCGCAGGCGCCGTGCGCGCTGGCGCCGTGCGCGCTGGCGCCGTGCGCTCTGGCGCCGTGCGCGCTGGTGCCGTGCGCACTGGCACCTTGAGCGCAGGCGCCGTGCGCGCTGGTGCCGTTCGCGCTGGCGCCGTGCGGTCTGGCGCCGTGCGCGCTGGCGCCGTACGCGCAGGCGCCGTGCGCTCTGGCGCCGTGCGTGCTGGCGAGGTCGATCTACTTACAGAGGAGAGGAGGAAGAAGGGGGATAGGGAAGGAGTGCAACCAAAGGAGGTAAGTGGGCTTACTTGTCTTTCTGCCTCCTCTTCTCTTATGCGTACCTTGGCACTCTCTCGCTGTTGCTACATCTCACAGTCCTCCTCTTGCTTTTATTTTTTTCCCTCACCTTGTACTGCCTAGATAGCCGTTTTCAGATTGCTGCTAGGATCCACCCACAAAATTTTCTAGGCTGCAAATAGGATACTTCTAGGCTGTTGCTAAGCTTTTGCTTGGCTGTTCCTAAGTTTTTGCTAGGTTGTTGCTTGCATGTAGCTTGGCTGCTTCTAAGCTCTTGCTAGGATATCGCAAGGCTTGTCCCTGACTGTTGCTTGCTTTTTCCATGCGTGCTCTCTGCTAGTGCTAGGCTCTCTCACGTCGAGCTTGTTAGAGGTGCCTTGCACTAGCGTGCTCTCTGCTAGCGCTAGGCTCTCTCGCGCTGTGCTTGTTAGAGGTGCCTTGCACTGGCGCGCGCTCTGCTAGCTCGAGGCTCTCTCGCGCCGTGCTTGCTAGAGGTGCCTTGCACACACGCGCTCTCTGCTAGCGCTAGGCTCTCTCGCGCCGTGCTTGCTAGAGGTGCCTTGCACTGGCGCGCTCTCTGCTAGCGCTAGGCTCTCTCGCGCCGTGCTTGCTAGAGGTGCCTTGCACTGGCGCGCTCTCTGCTAGCGCTAGGCTCTCTCGTGCCGTGCTTGCTAGAGGTGCCTTGCACTGGCGCGCTCTCTGCTAGCGCTAGGCTCTCTTGCGCCGTGCTTGCTAGAGGCAAGGTTGAAAAAAACGGCAGGCCGTTTTTTTCGATGGTATAATACGGTGATTTTCTGAAAAAAACGACGTTTTTGTAATAGGCCTTTTTTTTTTCTTTTTTTTTTCCTCGGCGAAAAAAAAAAGCACACAACTACGCTGCTGGTGGCTATGGTGCACGCAAGGTGGGTGTGTAAAATACAGAGAAAAACTCCACCTATTCCCTCTTACTTACTCCTACCTACCTACTAGGCTACTACTCCTCCTACTCCTCCTGCTCCTCCTACTCCTCCTACTCCTCCTCCTCCTCCTCCTCCTCCTCCTCCTCCTCCTCCTCCTCCTCCTCCTCCTCCTCCTCCTCCTCCTCCTCCTCCTCCTCCTCCTCCTCCTCCTCCTCCTCCTCCTCCTCCTCCTCCTCCTCCTCCTCCACCGTTGAAAAAAATCGGCTGATTAAAACGACCTTTTTTTTCCACCGATGAAAATGAAACATTCGGAATCGTTTTTTGTCGTATTTAACGGCCGAAAAATACGATATCGTATAATACGGTGATTTTCTGAAAAAAACGACGTTTTTTTTAACCTTGGCTAGAGGTGCCTTGCACTGGCGCGCTCTCTGCTAGCGCTAGGCTCTTTTGTGCCGTGCTTGCTAGAGGTGCCTTGCACTGGCACGCTCTCTGCTAGCGCTAGGCTCTCTCGCGCCGTGCTTGCTAGAGGTGTCTTGCGCTAGCGCGCTCTCTGCTAGCGCTAGGCTTTCTCGCACTGGCGCCTTGTGTGTTGACGGCGTGCGATCTACATGCTGCGGCGATGGGCAACTGGAGGGGGGAGAGGAGAATGAGGAGGAAAGCAGTAAGGAAGGTACAAGTGTCCTTAAAGGTGAGTGATTGTTACGTTGTACTATTTTCGGTTTCATTGTGTTTCTTTCTCTCGTAACTTGTCTTTTCCCTCCCGCAGTACATGCCTCCTTGCATCCAACTTGCGTGCTTCTTGCACAATATATTGCTATTACACTCATGTGAACACATAGATCTGTAGGCCTCATGAATGCACACAACTTTTCCAGCAGTTGCCGAATGACGCACCATTCATGCATTCCTCATAGTTCTCTTGTGTGCTCCTACTTTTCCATGCAGGCCACTTCCGAGGTCAGGAGCTGGAAAGTGGAAGAGAAGGGGGAAAGGGATGGGAAAGATAGAGGAAAGGGGGAGGGGGAGGGGGAGCGGGGGGTGGGGGAGGGGGGATCAGGGGAGAAGGAGAGTGAGAAGAGAGGGAGGTTTTGGAGAGATGTGCTGGTTGATAAGTAGTTCCAGATGTCTAGCTTTGAATCTCCGTGTACATAGTGAGTGTGGATGCATATGTGAATGTGGTGTGGCACGAATTTTGTCTGCTTCGGGCGTGCTGCTTATGCTAGGCAGGGCTGACGTTTCAGAGAACGGCACTCTAATTTTACCCCCCAAAAATTTCCGAGTCTGGGGTCATTCTTCAAAATTCCGCTGTTCTGAAATCTGTGTCAAAAAGTCTGTCAAACATGTGTATCTCTAATGTTTGCATAGACTGTATAGGGTCACCTCTTAAAGGGTACAACACTTAGGTATATTCACTTGTACTCTCTCCCTACTCAATCATTCAGTTCTTACTTTGATATGGTATTAGAGCGTAGGTTATAATCCCCCCACCTACCCAGGGCCCAAAATTGGTTTTAGGCCACTCTTTGAGATCAGAGTAGGAAAAAAAAAACGCCCTGACGGTCAGAGCTAAAAAAATTCAAAGTCTGATTTGGCAGGGTAAAAAAATTCGAAGTCTTTGCTTCAAGTGTAGAACTCTTTGCACCCTTTCTAGCCTTGGCCATTTAAGGAACATTTTACATGAATGAAGTGGGCTGCACTGAGGTGTGGAAAGAAGGGTGTAGCGGATTTGCGCGTGCTGGGGGAGATTGGGGGATGGGATGGGACGGAAAACGATTCTGGGGCGCGAGAGGGGAATCAGATTTACATGGGCGGCAGAGGGGCGGGAAAAAAACCATCTGCTCGTGATTGGTTGGGTGTCAGAAGGGCGTATACGACGTGACGTGTCTTGCTGTGGTGTGGAGGACTTAGCGAAAAAAAAAAAGTAGCGGGGGTGTGGTTGGGAGGCATGTCTCTTGTGGGGGACTTAGCCATTTCTGGGTTGCGAGGGGGTGAGGGAGCTATGACTCTGGCTACGACTTAGCCGAAATTGCTGGCTTGCATGGTGCGTGGGGTGGGAGGAATGACTCTGGCTGCCAGGGACTTCGTCGAAATTTTTGGTTGCAGGGTGTTTTGGGGGAAATGTTTCTGGCCGCCAAGGACTTAGTCGGAATCTCGGAGTTTCGATACCAGGGTAGTTTTCAGGACGCCCTGAAGGGTCAGGGTTCGGGGCCCCGCAACCCTAGTTTCGGCAGGGTAATATTTTCGTAACACTTTTTGGATCAGGGTAATAAATTTCGTAAGTCTGATTTTTAAGACCAAATGAAAAAATGCCCTGAAAAATCAGGGCAATCAGGGCATTTTACCCGGCTAATTTGAGCCCTGCACCTACCGCTTCCGCCCGTACCCTAGCTAGGCCCCGTCGCGCCCCCCCTCCTAGCGCCCCTCCTGGGTCCGTAGCGCCTCCTAGCCCCGTCGTGCCCCTCCTGGGCCCCGTCGTACCTCCTAGCCCCGTCGAGCCCCTCCTGGGCCCCGTCGCGCCTCCTAGCCCCGTCGCGCCCCTCCTGGGCCCCGTCGTACCTCCTAGCCCCGTCGAGCCCCTCCTGGTCCCCGTCGCGCCTCCTAGCCCCGTCGCGCCTCCTCGCGCCCCTCCTGGGCCCCGTCGCGCCTCCTAGCCCCGTTGCGCCCCTCCTGGGTCCCGTCGCGCCTCCTAGCCCCGTCGCGCCCCTCCTGGGCCCCGTCGTGCCTCCTAGCCCCGTCGAGCCCCTCCTGGGCCCCGTTGCGCCTCCTAGCGCCCCTCCTGGGCCCCGTCGCGCCTCCTAGCGCCCCTCCTGGGCCGCGTCGCGCCTCCTAGCGCCCCTCCTGGGCCCCGTCGCGCCTCCTAGCCCCGTCGCGCCCCTCCTGGGCCCTGTCGTGCCGCCTAGGCTCCGTCGCGCCCGCTGCGGCCCCGTCGCGCCCTGCCGCGCCCCGTCGCGCCCTTCCTGGCCCCGTCGCGCCCACCTGGCCCCGTCGCGGCCAGTCTGGCTCCGTCGCGTCTGCCTGGCCCCTCCGCGCCTGCCTGGCCCTGCCGCGCCTGCCTGGCCCTGCCGCGCCTGCCTGGCCCCGCTGTGCCTGTCTGGCCCCGCCGCGCCTGTCTGGCCCCACCGCGCCTGCCTGGCCCCGCCACACCTGCCTGGCCCCTCCGGGCCTGCCTGGCCCCCCCGCGCCTGCCTGGCCCCGCCGCGCCTCCCTGGCCCCACCGCGCCTGCCTGGCCCCCGCGCCCGTCCTAGCGGCCCCCCCCCCGCGCCTGTCCTTCTGGCTCCCTGCGCGCGCCCTGCCCGTCGACCTCCGGTCCCGTGCTCACCTTCTCGCCGGACTGCCGCCGATCTGCGTGCGGCCCGCTCTTCGTGCCTGCTACTGCACTGCACCCTCCCTGGTACAGTTCTCCATCACCTTTCACTGCACTGCACTCACTGTACCGCACTGTACCGCACTGCACTGCACTACACCGCACTACGCCGCACTGCACTATGCTGTACCGCACTGTACCGCATTGCACCGCGCTGCACCGTATTGTACCGCGCAGTACCGCACTGCACTTCACTGACTCGCGCTGGGCTGCCTCACCTGGTCCTGCCCTGCACTGTTCCTGATGGCGGCGGAGCTTCGCTTCGACGCTAAAGGCCAGCCTTTGGAGTTTGAGGCCTGGCTAGCCAACCTCCGCCGCCACCTTACAGGTCAGCGGCAGGATGGCCACTCGCTCTCGGCACATCTTGACGGTACGCTTCCCTGCCCAGACCCCCCTGCTGTGATGCTTGCTGACCCCACACCTGCTGAGTGCGAGTCTACTTCGGCCACTGCCCTCGCTCGCTCTGTCTGGCTTTCCCGTGACGTTGTCGCATAGCTTGCCATTAGCAACGCCCTCCCCCCGTCTGAGCGCCCCCGCTTTAGGTCTATCACCACCGCCCAGGCTTTCTTAGATGCTGTTATCCGGCGCTATTCCGCTCCACCTGCTGCCTCGGTGGGTCGCCTGATCCTACCGATGCTCTTTCCTGACCTTGCGTCTTTCCCCACTGTCGCTGACCTTGCTGCCCACCTGCGCGCGATAGATGAGACCTGGCGCGCTGCCTGCACTGACGCGCAGCTTAGAGCCCACCAGCCGCCCCTTACCTCTACCCTCTACCTGCTTGCCACCCGCCTCCCGGACCGCCTTGCCGCTGCTCGTGACCGCTTCCTTAGCATTCACCCCGGTGACCTCAACCTCACAAACTTTGTAGACACCCTGACTGTTATAGAGACCCGCCACCGCTCTATCGCCCAGGCGAGCCGTACTGTACCGGTCCCTATCTTTCAGGGTTGTGCCCCCGCTCAGTGCCCCGATGGTTCTGCAGCTGTGGCTGAGACCGCCGCTGCAGTGCAATTCCGTCGGGGGAAGGGTCGCCGCCCCAAGGCTGGGCGCGGCGAAGGAGGTGGGGGTGCTGGTGGAGGTGGTGGTGCAGTCGGGTCGTCTGGTGGTGGAGCGGACGAAGGGACCATGCCAATTCCAGCTGAGCAGCCGCCCCAGCAGCAGCAGGAATCGCAGTAGCCGCAGCAGCCGCCGTAGACGAGGCAGGCGAGTGCCCTCCCGCTCGGGTGGCTTGGCGCTGGTGGTGGTCGTACGCGTGGTGGTGTGCTGGGTGGCGGTGCGGGAGGCGTGCGCTGTCAGTACCAGATCCAGACTAGTCCTCGCTGCGGTTTTGTTTGCGGTAAGATCGGTCACGCCACTGGCCGCTATTTTCGTCGCCTGGACGACCTGTTTCGTCAGCGCTTCGGCCCGTCGCCCGACCTCCCGGACTGGCACAGTTTGCTTAGTCGTAGAGTTCCGATTTTTGACATGGACATGGATGCCATTGTTTCTGTCCTGCATGTGATGTATGTTGATGACTCGAGTGTGCTCCCCTCTTATTACTCCTAGTTGCCTAGTGTAGGTGTGCCTAGCTTAGCTTCCTGTTCCTGCTGCAGTTTCTCTTGCTGACCCCTCCGGCGGTCCAGTAGTCGCCCGCAGTTCCACCACCCTTCCCTGCCCGGCGGTTCCTTCGGGCTCTCTCACAGGTCTGCATATCCCCTCGTTCTCCAGGAACCTAGTTGGTGTCGGCTGCCTCCAGGACCTTGGCGTCACCACTACGTTCCCCGGTCACGAGCGGTATGCTGTCTGTACCGAGGCCGCCACTGGTGCCCCCCTGTCCACGTTCCCCCGGGACCCAGTGTCCGGCCTGTTCACCTTGGACACCGTGACCCCCCCGGCTGGGGCGCCCCTTCAGGTCGCTGCGTCTACCCTCGTTGCTGCTGCCTGCACCTGTTGATCCCTCACTCACCCGACTCTCCTTTGGCACCACCGCCTAGGTCACCCTGCACTGCCGCGCCTGCGTCACATGTCCCAACACAGTCTTGTCCTTGGTCTCCCAGGTTCACTCCCCGCTTTTCCCTTCTCCCCCGCCCAACCTTGCACGCCTTGTGTCGAGGGTCGGCTTCGCCGTGCCCCTCACTCCTCCTCGTTTCCCCCTACCGCCGAGCCGCTGCAGACCGTGCACATGGACGTCTGGGGCCCCGCCCCCGTCCATGGGCCGAGTCGAGAGCGCTACTTCCTCGTGCTTGTCGACAACTTCACTCGCTACACCACAATCTTTCCCCTAGAGCGCAAGGCCGACGTGCCTGACGCTCTCATCCCCTGGCTTGTCTCAGCTCGTGTCGACCGAGGTCTCCCTGTCTTGCGTCTTCACTCCGACCGTGGTGGCGAGTTTGCCTTAGGTGTCCTTGATCGCTTCTGTCGTGTGGAGGGCATCACCCAGACGTTCACCCTGCCGGACTCCTCACAGCAGAATGGTGTCGCTGAGCGACGCATCGGTTTGGTCATGGAGGTGGCTCGCACCTCCATGATCCATGCCGGTGCACCCCATTTTCTGTGGCCGTTCGCCGTGCACTACGCTGCTCACCAGCTTAACCTGTGGCCGCACACTCAGCAGCTACAGGTTTCGCCGACCCTTAGTTGGACCAGGTCTCCTGGTGATGCGTCTGCGTTCCACGTCTGGGGCTGCCTTGCTCACGTCCGTGCCTGTGGCACGGACAAGCTCACTGCCCGCACCCTTCCCTGCATCTTCCTAGGTCTCCCCCTTGACGCGTCCGACTGGCACTTCTACCACCCGCCGTCTCACCGGTTCTTTCACTCTCGCGACGTCACCCTTGACGAGTCCGTCTCCTTCTACCGTCGCTTCCCCCACCACGGTCCCCCTGTCACTCCCCCCCTGTTCCTGGTCACTCCTTCCCTGGTGGTCCCCCCTCCCCCCCCTCCCCCTCCCCGTCCTGCTCCCTCCGGTGTGTCCCACGTCAACCCACTCCCGTCGGTTGTCCCGGTTGAGGAGTCTTCTGACTC